ATGAAAGTCAATGGGCATAACTATTCTTTGAATATTTTAAAATATGAGTAATGTTTATTTAGAAAAACGCCCATGACCAAGCTCCGTCAAATTTAATTTTCCCAGAGAGTTAAGCACACATTCTAGTAGGTACTTCCCTACATACCAAGGAAAATTTTTAGCAAGGGCTTCAATAATAAGCTTCCTTCTGAAAAGTAATCTTGTGATTTCATGCGAGAAAATTCTCTCCATGAGGTGAATGAGAGATGAAGCTGTAAAGGGTGAGAACCTGGAATACTAGTTTGCTTTCCTTTCTGAACAAAGGAAAACAGCACCGGGTCCACATTTCCTGTCTGATACGGTTTGTTCTTGTTGCCAAAGAAAGATCATATTCAGAATACCTGTTAGCTGAAATAAGCCGTATAGCTCAGAAACTGAATTTCCATGAGATTTCTGTTGTGGAGACACCCAATCTCTAACCCAGTTCGGTTAGAGATATTTTGTTAAGTTCCCTTTTACAGAGAATCCATTGGCGGGCTTTCAGCTTTTCTTGATGATCAAGTAACGGTGAGAACCATTTGGACTGGAGAGATGTCCTAGCTCTAAATTGAACACCTACTATGTGCCTTGTGCTGTCAGCCATCACAGCAACGGACATATAGCAACAGCACGGAGAACTGGGTGCTCAGCCAATGAACACAGTCATCATAAATCCTACCTCACCACAAGGGCAGAGAAGATTGTCTCTTTCTCTCAACAACACCTTCAAAGGTTAAATCTCTTGTAATGCAAGTCCAAATGAGGCAAACCTACTACATAGAGATTTTGAAATCAAGGGGGGTATGATAAATGATTAAGTGACTGGGAAAAAAATAAGACCTTAGCTTTTCCTTGCTGTCTTCAGTTAAAATAGAAAGGAGGAATCCCCTGTTGGGAAGCTTATTAGCTTATTATTCGATTACCTCATAACCTCCCCACTTCACCTTGAGTCTTATTTTTCAATTACTTCATAATCTTTAATTTTCATTTGAATCCTGTGTCTTTTTAGTTTGCAAAACTAGGAACATATTCTTTTAAACATGAGATGAAAACTAATTACAATACTCGTATCCTCTTCCTAACTCTTGCTATGTTTTAGACCAAGTGGTTCACAACCTTCTAATGCTGTGACCCTTAATACAGTTCCTCATGTTGTGGTGACTCCCATAACCATAAAATTATTTTTGTTGCTACTTCATAACTGTAATTTTGCTATTGTTAGGAAAGGATTGTTTAACCCCCCAAAGGGGTTGCGACCCACAGGTTGAGAACCCCTGTTTTAGACACAGCCACCAGTGTTTCTTATACTGTTCTCACGCTTGGGTGGTTTCCTTCTGTTTTTGTGAAATCAAGTCACTCACTATTTTTTCATGAGTAGTCTTTTGTGCATGTGTATGCATATGTTTAGATGCATGGATATAGATCTCTGAATAAAATTACAACTACTAGTTGTAGGTAGAAAGGTGTGTTTGCCTATTTATGGACAGGCATATTTGCCTAAGTATGTATACACTTACTCCATTCTGCTTATACCTAGTAATTGTCAATAAACAAACGGGCTGGGTTTTGAATAGCCATTCTTGAAACATAGATGTGTTTAAAGAAACTTAGAAGCCTGTACCTCTCCGCAGTGGCCAGCACACCTTTTAACAAAGTAACAAATGTTCTCCAAAAGGCAATCACCAACTGAACACTTTTCGTTTGTTTAAAAGACAGAAAAATCAGAAAATCTCCCAGACATGCATATGAATCAAAGAAAATTAGGTTGCTCTCCGATGTTTGTGCAACCTACTCTTAATTTCTTTGAAAGTTCCCCCTACTCCATTTGTCAGGTAAGTTAGTCATTTAACCCTTGGAGCTACTGGAAGCACACCACCCAGCATAACTGATGAAGCAAGCGCTGTTTGCAGACTGCAGGGTAGACTGATGGCTCAGGTAAACTGGTGAGTTTATAACCATCAATGATATGCTTTCCTGAACATTGTCGTTATGCACAGTCTGTCATATAGAAACATGACTATGACACGAAAGTTCAAAGCATGCCAACTTGTGGGAAGTTGGAGTAAAAATCATGCGTTGTCCTTAAATTGAGGGTTCCTTCAGCGTTTGATGTTATAGCCTGGCACACAGTGCTTCTAAACTACTGTGGATTTCAAGCATCATCACGAAATGAGGGAGCCCAGGTGATGCCGTGGGGGCAACGTTCAGGTAGTTGACCAAAAGCTTGGTATCTGGAACCCATCAACCTCTCTGGAGATGTTTGTTGCCATTAAGATTTCGTCTCAGAAGCCGTCTACTCTGTGTTTTAGGGAACAGGCTGTGAGTGGGAATAGGCTCTTCATTGATCCAGTTCTCAAAAGGTCAGCATAATGATGAGGCTACTTTGACTTCTAAATTTTTAGGAATATGGAATGATTAAGTCACTCTTCTGGTAGTGGGCTTCTTTGAGTAAGAAAGCTATACAATTTTGTGCCAACAGAAGGGATCCATCTTGGTGCTAGGTGTGCTAGAGACTGACGCACTTCTTTTGCTGAAGCCCCACCCGATGAATGAGAGGTGGAAGCCACAAGGTTAAGAAGGAGTCCTGTTGGAACCAGTGCTGAATGGGGTTTAATACAGCAGGGAGCCAAGACAGCAGTCAGACACAAAGTAAAGAACCTGCAGTTTGTGTCAGTACAATAAAGAATTTAAGTTCATGATCTGTCATCCTGTTATTTGAAAGAGGAATAAGTTAGGGAAATAAATGACTTTCAATTCTCCGTACATGCCAAGGTTACGAGAGATATTACAAAACGTGGCTATTGTATGTGCTGGGGGTGAGGGAAAGCATGTGAAATCGGCATTTTTAAAATAAATCACTCAATAGTCTTAAGAAAAATACTTTAGTTCATATTTCATTAATCTGCCCTTATGTTCCAAGACCAAGGAATGCATCTAGGATGAAAACCCAAAACAAAACAGAAATGAATCATTTACCATGGAAAAAGAGGCATTTCAAGTCTCAGTCAACCTCGACTAGTTTTTATTGCATTATATGTGAAATGCCAAGAAACTGGCTTTGGCCATATTTGCTGTCCAACTAAATCAAAGCTGGAATTGCTTTTGCAACAATTAGCTAAACACCATCATTGGACAAATTCCCTTGAAAGGGAAGGAGATGCTGTAGGTGTGTCACACGTATGGAATCAAGTAACAGTTAGTCAGGCTGCTGCTGCTGCAATACAAGGAGAGACTTTTGTAAATCCTTGCCAAAGAAAGGGGTTTCGCACAGCCTTGATTCTTTGAAAAACACGTTTGTCCGGATCCTGCACATTCTTTCCTGGTTTCAGGAATGAACTGTGTAATTGACTGAAGACAAAGAGGAAATGTCCACTAACTCTAGATTCCTTTATAAGTAGATAAGGGGCAGAGGGTGGGAAGGGGGGGAGGAATGCAAATATGTAACAGTATTAGCATACAACAGGGGGAACAGAAAAATAATGGAACCTGCTAGCAATTTGCACCAAAGCAGCAAACCCTTTAACTGACAGAAATTCAGTACAATATACACACTATTAGCAACTCTACCATTACCAGGGCTGCCAAGGAAAGCCAACAACAACGAAAAAACTAACTACAATATTCAAAAACAGGGTTCTCATAAGAGCTGAGAAAAAATAGAGTGAAAAGACAATGTTAGCTAAGCGCTTAGCTAAATCCACTCTTAATGGCCCCCAGTGTTTAAACGATCATGGATTAAAGCCATGAAAATAAAAATTTCAATTTGAAATTTTATTAGCATGTTGCTAAAATGGTCAATAAAGACATCAACACGATAGGCTTTGTTGACATAGTTGGAAAACTGCTCTCTCCTTTGAAAACTTTATTCCCACTTCCCCACCTTCTAAGATTTCTATGTAAGGAAAAGCCAAATGAAATATACTGGCTATGGTGGTGTAAGAATGCTGGTTACTGGAATGTTGTCATGTCTTCCCCACCCCCACCCCCTCCTCCAAGCCCATTAAAAATATGACTCTTTGAAGTGCCGCCCAAGGAGGGGGATATCTAGGCTTGAGAACATGAAGTGCCCTTCGCCACACATACAAGCTCCAGACACCACGGGAACTGTGTCCATTGGAGGTGGGGTGGGGGTGGGGTGGGGCGGCGGAACTGGCTCTCTTCACCAAATTAGCTGCACCCTTTACCTCCAGGGACCCGGGAAGGCTTCCCATCTGCCAGCGAGGGAAGCTCACAAGCAAATGTGGGTGGGCAGTGGCTTTTGCTTTCCAGGGTAGAAAGGGAAGCGTCTACTATCTAGCTTAGCCTGGAGCCTAGACTACAAGGTCAGGAGCCTGGGGCAGGGGCGTTGGAAAAGTCTCCAGCTGTGTTGGAACAATTCAGAGTCACCCAGGTGCTTTCTGGTGGAATGATTCACAAGTGCGCAAGGGGCAGGTTTGATTTCTTGGAAATCCTGCAAGCTGGGGACTCCTTACAGCTGCGGTACTGCCCTCTCAGAAGACTAATTATTGCCTCCTGCGGGGTCGGTGCGCGTGAGTGAGTTTGGGGCTGTGGTGGCCGCCCTCCAGTGAGGGGTAGTTTCCCTGCTGGGGGACAGTCACTGACCAGGGACTGGAGGGGAGGTGGCTATGCTCCTGCTCCCCTTAGCCCTTCCTTCTCCTTCTCCCCCTTATATCTCCACCTGGGAACATTCACTCTGCTCTGGGTCTCCCCAAATCACCCACCCCTCTGGGAAGCTCAGCCAGGCGCGCGCGCGCGCGCGCGCGGGCGCATAGCAGTACCCTTCCAGCCACCAGACCCGTTCCTGCAACTTCCTGCCACTTGCCGGAGGGGTGCGAGGGTAGAGCCTGGGCCCTGTCCACCGGTGGCGGGCACGCCTGGGGGGCGAGGATCTGGATCGCAGGCCAGGAAGCCCAAGTGCCTGAAGGGGAAGGGAGCGGGGAGCAGGGAGACAGGCTCGCTGGGCAGGTGCGCCCCCCCCCCACCCCACCCCCGCGCGCGAGCGGGGCTACTCCTTGTCGTCCACGAGGTCAAGGTCAGCGAGTTCCTGGAGCACTCGCAGGCGGCCGCTGGCGTCGATGCAGCGCTTCTCCCGGATGAGGTCTTCAAGGCTGTGGAACCTGGCCGTGTGCACCTTGTTCTCCCCCAGGTGCACCTTGAGATAGTACTGCAGCTGCGGGGGTTGCGTGCCGGCCGGCACCTCCCCTCCGGCCTTGAACTCCCTCTTGCCAAAGCGGCACCAGGCTGCGAAGCTTTCTGAGTTCGTCCAGCAGATTTCCTCGCTCTTGAGGCCCAGGTGGCCGCAGGCGTTCTGCACCACCAGCTCGGCCACCAGCGGGCGGTAGCGGTACCAGCTATTCACCACGCGGCCCACGTTGGCCGCGCCCGCCTCGTACAGGCTGTCCTGGCGGATGGCGCCCTGGTGCAGGTGGATGATCTGCCCGCCGCCCACGTAGACGGCCCAGTGCGGGGCGGGCGCGGGCGGCTCGGGCGCCGGCTGCAGCCACAGCAGCTCCAGCAGGTCGCCGGGTTCGCAGAGCGCCGGCAACGCGGAGACAGGGTAGACGCTCAGGTCGGCGCCCTGCGGGCCGCCGCTCCCTTTGGAAAAGATGCATTCCTGGCCTCGGAAGGCAGAGCACTGAGGCTCGTTGAGGACCAGCTGGCGCAGCAGGTGGTGGTGGTGGCGGCTGGGGCTCTCGGGGCCCGAGGGGCAGCCCGGAGGGGCCTTCACACCAAACTTGTCCGGCTGGCCACGCTCGTCCAGGTCCTCCTCCTCATCCGAGAAGAAGTAGGCGACCCCGACCCGCAGCTCGTCCTTCTCGATCCCTGATGGGTCCCCGGTGGGCAACTCGCTGTAGTTGAGGTGGGTGATGCGGTCCAGTTGGTTGCCCATCAATGACGCGACGGGGCGAGGGCCAGGAGCGGGGATCTGCGGGGGCACAGAGAGAAGGCTTCAGGAGCAGGGTCGGGGGCTGGCCGCCTCTCCCCAGGGCTTCCAGCGCTCTGGGGAGACCTGCTCGCCCGCCCGCCAGCCCACGCGCCCACACGCGACGTCCCAATTCCAGCCGAGTCCCCTAGACCTTCCCAAGACCAGAGAGAGGGGTGCAGAAGCCCCAGCGCTGTCCGGGACCAACGTAGAAAGGAACAAAGCCTCCAAACCGGTCCTCGAAGCCGGATGCAACAACCACAAGAAAAACAAAACACAAAACCGAAAACCAAGCAGGCGGGCGAGAGGGTGTGCAGAGTGGGTCGGGCAGCGTGGGTTGTGGTCGCGTGGTGGATAGGACCACCCACCCCCTAAAAAAATTGGAGAAAGGCAGTATTGGAAGAAGGGGCGCCAAAGGCCCCAGAGCCAGGAATAAATGGCGCTCCGATTTCTGTCCCCACCCTCTGCAGCCCACCTACTAGTTTTACGCTAGGGCGCACCCCTCTCCCCTAATCGCGCCTCGTACGCTGGCCGTCTACAGTCGCAGACACGCCTTTGACACTAACAACATTTCGCACAGTTGGAAGTCCAGATGCTGGCATGCTAGTGCACTTTTGGGACACACACACACAATACCAAACCCTCGCGACAACACACTAACCAAGGCTCCCACCTTCGCAGTCGCACACAATTCCAGCCCCAGCTTGGCACGCCCGCCGGTGCACGTACACCAGAGCCGCTGGGCACACCTGCCCCCACTGCAAGGTGCACTCTGCCCCTTACTTCTCTCCCAGCTGCCCAGCCGAGCCAGTCGGGCTGCGCTGGGGCGCGGCTGCTCGCTCTAAAACAACCTAACAAAGGGGCCCGGGGAGCACCGGGAAGCCAGTGCGGGGTGTGCGCTCGAGAGGCTCTGGGGTCCACTTTTAGACAAACGATTCCTCTCCCTCCTACCCCGCACAGGAGCTAAACAATTCCACGAAGAAACCCCTTTCCAAGACAACCAAAGCCGCCTCTCCGTACCGGTGATTTCCCAGCTCCCGAAACCCCAAACTCCTTTAAAGTCTCCGGGTCCCCATGGGTGCTGCTGCGGCGGCGGCGGCGGAGGCAAGCGCGAAGCGGGTCCTGGGCGACGCGTGGGATTGCAGCTCCGCTGTGCCCCGCGCGGGACGGTGCGCTGCGGTGCCTGGCGCGGTGTCCGTGCGCCTGCCCTTCGGTGCCGGCTGAGGATCCGGCTCCACCTGGCAATCCCGGCTCCGCTCAGCTTTCGCTCAGGCTCGCCGAGGACTCTAAGTAGCCAGAGCAGCCCGGGCTAGGGCCCGCCCCGGGACGCGCTCATTGGTTAGAAAGGCAGCACGAGCCTTGTCAATCGCCAGCTACTCCGGGAGGGGAACCGAGGCGGGTCTCCAGCCTGCGCGTCGCCCCGCCCCCGCCCTGCACCCGCGCGCCCGCGGGCCGGAGGAGCTCCCCAGCCTTGGCGCTTCGGAAAGGAGCCCCGCTGTCGTGAGTGCAGGTGTGAGTACCCCCTGGGAGCGCACGAGGGGCGCAGTGCTTCTCCACCGCGTCGCCGATTCCTTCCGTGGCTATCCAGATCCCCTCCAAAATGATGGAAACTGAGAGAACAGACTCCTCGCCTTTGGGTCTTTGGGAGTACAGTACAATCGCCAGCTGAGAAACCAAGTCCGAAGGTGGAGAAGAAACCACAGTCCAGTCCAGCGCTGCCTCAGACCCTGCGGGCGGCCTTGTGAGTGGGATCCTGCCCATTGGCAGCACCGTGGCCCAGCTGTTACCTCTGGCCAGAGCCTGGGGATTCCCGGGCGTCCTCTGCTATCATGCCTTTTTCCTGCTGGGCCCGGCTGCCTTGGAAATTGCATCTACAGCATCTGTTTCTTCTTCCTAGAACCTCTGTGAAGGTGTTGACCCAAGAACGTGCTCCTAGTTTAGGAGGAGCTTGCCCGCAAATGCAGCCTGCAAGTCTGAATCTTGGCTGCCCCAGTCCCTCACCAAGCCTAGGATTCTGTCCTCCAATATTCTGTCTATGAAAGAAATGCATCACACAAGCTGACAGTAGGACGTCATAGAGTTTTTTGATCCCCACTACTAAGGGGTTTTTGCTAAGGGAATTATCTTCAGTTTTGTGGGGGAAAGGTTGTATGGCAGTAATTCATTATTGCACTTTTTATGTGAAATTAATGAATGGATGTGCTCTGGATCTTGGAGTCTGAAAGATGACTTTCATATCTAAGAAATTCCAGATTGACAATATAGAAAGCTTATAACCATCAGCCTCAAAGGGTTGTGAAGATCTCAGGTTCTAGGCTTTAAGTTTGGGCTTATTCATTCTGTTTCTCTTTTTGACCCCTTGGCAGCTAGTATCCAACTCTATTTCAGGACTGCCCCCTGTTTTCTTACAAACCCATTCTCCTGACAAAGTAAATGTCTTGAGGTTAGGCCTGTGCTCGGCACAGCTTCCTATTCTGAACTGCTTTACCAATGCCCGGCCCACCACATTTCAGTAATAACACAACAGGCCAAGAATAATCTAAATGAAAAGAGCCAGTAAGTACTGATGAGGCATAGTACTAAAATGTTGAAGTAGGTTTCATGGTGACACCTCTGTAAGGAATTCAACAATAGCCCCATTGTAACTATAGAGGGGAATTGCAGCCCAAATGTCAGAGCCACCTGTCTACCTAAGGCCTAAGAGACACCAGGGTTAGCATGGCCCTGTGCCATCCTTAAAATTGTTCTTATGGGCTGGAGCCCATGGTGGCAGCCGCTGTGTCAACCCATGTCACCCAGGAGCCTCCTGGTTGGGGCTTAACCTCTAGTTTACCAAGCATGATGTCCTTTCCAGGGACTGGCGTTTCCTGATAACATGTCCAAGGCAAATGAGATGAAGTCTTGTTAGGCTTGCTTTTTACGAGCATTTTGGCTGTACTTTCTGCAAGACAGATTTGTTTGCTACCATTAGTATCATCAAATTAGATACTTAATATGGCTGGAGAAAACAGGTTTTAAGATGTATGTGTTTATGCTCAGTATACACATATCTTTTCAAGGATTTTTGTTAAATCCAAGTATGTGCAAGTTACTTGGAAGCAAGTTGTCATCTCGGGAACTGACCATGGACTGTGATCTCCTTTGCTCTGCTTGCTATAATAATACCGTATTTAGTCCCGAGAACAAACGAAATTAAATAAGAAACTTCAGAGATCACGGAGTGAATTGTTTGTATTGTTATAAACTGAACTTCAGGGGCTTTTGGAGCAAGAGTATCTGATGAGTTCATTACTGATGTCTGGCATCTAAGAGGAATTAATTTAAAGGAGTTCAGCGCATAACCCTGAATACCTTCTTTATTTCTTTCAGTCCCTTCGTCATCCTCAGGATCAAATGTTGTGCTAAACGTTCATAACCCATTTGCTTAGGCCAATATAGCCTGCCTTGTCTGTTTCAGACTGCCCCGGACTCCAGAGTTTGCACTGCCACTTCTTTTTGGCTTAGCCTCTCATCCACTCTAAGAAATAATTAATAGAAAAGATGGTCAGGATTTGGAGATGCAGCGTACACAGCTTACAAAATCTGTATTCACCTTTTTGAATCTTCTTGGCTTACCCCCTCATTGGCTAAGCTAATCAAGGCTTCAACAACCAAAAGGTAGACTATCTGCCACTCCTCCTCACCTTGCTATATAAGGCAGGGAACTCACTAGCTGCAAGACTTAGGGGGGAGATGAGCTCAAATAAACGAAGGGAAAATGCACCTGGAATTTGGACTCTTATGGCGATTACAAAGGGAATAAAGTGAAAACTAGATGAATCCACTGGAAGCATGAGAAGCCTATCTTTTATTTGCACCACAAAATATTGTTTTCTACTTGTTTTATATAGATATTATTTCTCACCTCATTCTGGCTGCTGACAGGCTGAGAAAAGGCAGTGTAATAAGCATACCGTGATAAAAGCACCATTTCTGGAAGTTAACTGTTAGTTGTAAACCCTACCTCAATCATCGTTAGCTGAGTAACCGGGTAAATTACCTAGCCTTTCTGGGCTTTGGTGTCCTCATATGCAAAATATATGATGGCACAGTATCTACGTCATTTGAGTTGTGAGTTCATACAGTGTCTCATATAATGAGTGCCATCAGTACTACCTAGTATTAGTATTACTGTCATTTTCAATATCATCAGCATTGTATCATAACCTCCTTGTTAGGACGACGGTCCAATTCTTTCTGTATGTTTGTGTCATGCAAAAGTTAACTCTAGAGGGGTTATGAGACTTTTTGTGCTAAGCCTTGTCTATCTGTAGAAAAAGTGAAGCTCTCAAGTTCGCTGCAGTTCCTGTGTGTGAGCTCGTAGGCTGATCAAAACTACCGATGCCCCTCAGTACTTTTAATTATTTAAAAAATACGTATCTAGATATAGTCTGAAGGCTAAAATAAGTCACAGAAAGGCATGTTGTGGTGTGTGTGAGAGAGAGAAAGTGTGTGTGTGTGTGTGTGTGTGTGTGTGAAAATTCTCAACCCCCAAGCCCACTTTCATCAAGTCAATGCCATCTCATTGGGACCTCATAGGACAGAGTCCACCTGCAGTAAATCTTTACGGACACATACTCCGGCATCTTTCTTCTGAAGAGTGGCTGGTGGGTTCAAACCACAGACCTTTTGGCTAGCCACTAAGCACTTTAACCACTCAGCCACCAGGGATCTTTGTGTCAGTGTGTGGGTGGGGAGGATGATTCCTTCCCTGGAGGAGTGCCGTGGAGTCAATTACATACATACGCTGTTTCATCGGTGCCATTTGGTGTATGATCTTGACTCCGACTTCAGCATTTATGAAAGGTTCTACCCAGATGTTACTGAGCAGGTCCTTAGCTCTAGCTGCCAGCCTCCCACACTGGCCCTGAAGGGAATGGTTGGGAAGGAATCTGTATTCACTTCACATCGTCGCTTGCTGGTGGTTTTTCCTGCTTTAAATGGTATGGCTTCTTTGCGCTGTATGCTTCAATGAACTGGCCCACTCTCTGTCCTTCCAGCCGCAAGTCCTTGAGACAATTCCTTTCACTGTGGTGAGTTGTAGTGAAGACAATGCTTTTGCTTCACTAGCTCCATGTTGTTTCTTCTGGACACACAAACATTGCATCTCACACAGACTACTCTGCTATCTGTAGTGAGGTGGACGCCATGTGAGTGAGTTATGGTCAAGGGAATGTTGGTGGAAGTACAGGAAACCATTTTCAGGCATGGGTCATGAAATCTTAAGGTGATCTTCCAGGTTCTTTCTGTGCTCACTCAGCCATAAGTTGAGGATCCACTGTAGAACTCTGGAGCTCTGAAGATGGAGAAACCCCCAAATCAAAGATATCTCAACCGTATTAAGAGTTCTAGTGCATTCTCTTTATAACTTAGGACAGCACATGCCTTTTGTCTGGAGCTTTCTACTCCCTATAGAATTACAGTCTTGGAAACTCGCAGGGGAGTTCTACTCTGTCCGATAAGGTTGCTGTGTGTTGGCATTGACTCAGTAGCAGTAGGTTTGGTTTGGTTTGGGTACTTTTGCCTGCTAGCATTGATACAGTGTCTCTGGGTAGGTCTGGGTCACTGTTATATGTGTTATATCAAGGCCACCTTTCTTCTGCCCAGAATGTCTTTCCCTGCCTTCCTCATGAGGGTTCACTGAAATTTTAGCACACCTTCAAACATCAGCCAATAGGTCCTCTAATAGGTCAGTACCTTTGCTTTTTTAAATTGAGATAATCATTCATGTTTCCATAGCAACATGTATATCTTGGCCATATGATGTGTCAGATAAATGTCAAAATACTAATCAAACTAACCCTTTTTATTGGTGGATTTTTCTTCTCTGTCTTCCCCTGTAGACTGTGGAAGGCTCTGAGGAAAACACCCATATTTAGTTAATCTCTGTAGTATTTTTGCCTGACATAGTGCCTAGTGTGCATGGTGTGCCCATAAGAAATACAACAAAACTGACTCAGTGCACGAGTCAAGAAATGGCATATTTTATTTAGTGTGTTTTCAGTGGGGCTTAGACCATGAATTTGAACATCCCAATGCCTGGAGTATGACTGAAGTAAGGGGTTGTGTGAAAAGTGTAGGTTTCCGTCTATCCTGGACCATTATCGAGGGGGCTTAGAAGGTTGGATTCCCAGGCCTCTCTGAGACATATTCTAAGTTTATCTCTGAGTAGCATGTCTTGGAATC